AAGTCAGTGGCAGTGAACGAGTAGCCGCAGAGCCTTCGAACGTGCCAGCATCTTGGAGGTCATGAAGCACATGAAGATCTCGGCTTCGTTGGACAAAGGCACCCCCAACATGGACGCTTGTGCTGCCTGTGGAACCGCGATATGTTCAGCCATTCCGTGGAATCCTGGTCATTTGTCCACCAACTCAAAACGCCCGAACGCGTGGCGAGCCCATTTGTCCGTGCACTTGGAACTGAGGAGAAGTGGAACACCAGGGTCAAGAAGGAGATGAATGACTGGCTGGCCCTCTACCGTCGCCAAAACCTGTCCGTCGGAAGGCCGGGGGAGGTTTTCTTCAAGTCTTCAAGTCTGCGGGTCTCCTTCCATGCCTTGGCGGTTACTCGCCAGGCAGAGCTACTACTCCCTGTACTCTGCGATCAACACGCTAGCGAGCCACTTCACTTCCTACGGTGACTTGGTCGCCCAGTTTTCCAGTGGTTGCCCATTCCTTGCCTGCGAAGATACAGCACTTGGAGGTTCATGGGTAGTTATAAGTGGGGTTGTAAGTCCCCTAATTTGGGTTATAACTATCGTTACCCTGCTTGTAACCCCACTTATAACTGCCCATGAACCTCCAAGCAGTGGTCGGCTGCCTTTGTGAGTTCCCCGCCCGGATTACACTCTCTTGGGTTAGGCTTCGGGCCACCTCACCCTGTCCTTAGCTAGGACCCAGAGTAGGCCCTTAGTCCCCTTTTTTAGGGTTCTGGTTCCCTTTTAAAGTCCTTCAAACCAAAAAGGGCACCCTTTTTATTCCTAGGTTTCTCTTGGGTCTAGTTAGTGTGCACGACACATTTTAGTCCGACTGCTGGCAATGGACCAGCGGTGTGGTTTGTATCGTCTGGGCGGCGGATTTTCGAATGTTAGTTATGAGGCAGGTCGTGATCGTGGCGCCTTCGTGATAATGCTTATGACTCTACGCCAAGCTATTATGAGCTCCTGGCTTTACTGTCGTCCGGTGTTGATAATATGGGGTCGGAATAATCACCAGACTTTTAACCATTTAATTAAACAGAATGTGCCCCAGAACTCTACTCTAAGCATGAAGGCCTCTATGTGACACTGTCAGCACTTGCTGGATGTTCCGAGCCCTGCGCAGGGATGGCACGCACAACTCGAGACGTGTAATATAAATATACTGGAAACGTACCTACACCCAAACACCTCTTTAAAGGAGGTATATACGGAAATCATAAGAAGGAGCGGTAGGTTTAGAAGAGTCCAGCTAAGTCCTAGATGAGGCCTCCATCGCCCTTCCCTGGCTCAGGGCCGAAGTTCCCTTTCCCCAACAAGAGGAGGCCTCGCTTCTATGAGCTTTGCAATCAGGTGGCGCCTTGGGCGGGTTTAGGGGTTTAGGGGTTTAGGGCTTTTGGGGCTTAGGGCTTAAGGGTTTAGATGGTGCTATTCGGGTTTATAGCTTTGCGGGGATACTGTTTGGGCCGCTATAGCGGCTCTATGGGGCTTTGTTCCGGGTGAATCCCTCCCCCCATTCTTTAAACATCATCCTTAGTCATAGAAGTCATAGAAATCACATTTCGGAAAGTCCTAGTATATCACCCCCGCCGTTTAAAGACGATTTTGGAGATTTGGGTTGGGGTGGTTCAGGAGAAGGAGCAGGGGCAAGAGCAGGAGAAAGAGCAAGAGAAGCATTGTAAACACACTTAACGAATTGCTCTTGGGGGGGGCTGGGGGGGGCCGGGGGGATTTCAATTTTGGTTGGAAGAGATTACCGTAAGGGCTGCGACAACAGCTACTATGGGGTTGAGGGTTTAGGAGCTTTTGCCTTGATTTCGCCTTGATTTCAGAAAAGGGTTAGAATGCCTTTAGGGATTTAGGGCGTCGGGCGTAGGGCTTGAAGAGTTTTTGGAGGCTTCAGGGTGGTAGGCATGGAGCTGATACTGTAAAGCAAGCGTGATAGGTTTGGGTGCCTTAAAGGGGTTAGGGTTTGGACCTCTATGGGTCTTTAAGGCTTCAGTGGACCCCTGTTGTATTTAGGGCAGTGTTTGTATGCCGCTGCGGCAAAAGTGGGTGCTTGGTCATCAGACTTGCGTGTACTCATCTACTATAGTCAGGACATGATTGGATGCTAGCTGGAGGCCTAGTCCGATCTTTGGCCGCCCATTCAACTTTGTTGACCTTCCCATGACAGTCTGGGATTTGCTTACCGTCTCCCTTGAGAGGTCAGGAATCCGAGATTCCGAAAAATGGGGTCGTACCTTCAATAATGGATACGCGGTACGCCGGCCAAGGAGAAGTACCTCGAGAAAGGCAAGTGAGGCACTAGTGAGCAGACACGACTGGGAGAGCGACAGACACCACTGGTTTAGAAATGCTTTTGCTTCATCCAGCCATCATCATAAGTGGGGCTTGGGGATTCACATCTTTGCCCAGTCAAGGCATTGTCCATGGTTCCTTCTGAGTTACCTCTTACATATGTGGATTTCGCATGAAGACATACCGACCGTAAATCCATGGCAGGTGGTTCGGTGGTTCAGAAATGTATAGGCAGGGGGCTCACCCCCGACAAGCATGCAGCTTGAATGGTCTTCGCTTACTGTGTCAACGCGAACTTGTGAACTATGTGAGGAGATTCGTGCCCAAATCATCCCGCACATGAGCTTGAGCACAGTTCGGCAGCGACAGGTGGAACATGTGGGTAGTTGAGAACATCTGAAAAGCTCGATGTTCCCGTTGACACAAGCATTTTTCTTCTTTTCTGGAAGGCATGCCGCTAAAGAATACTAGTGGAGACTTGGAGGGTCTACCCACGGGATACCAGCCATGCACTTTGGGAGGAAATGTTGTGGGAGCCGCGACACCCGTTCGCTAGAATGCTGAAATAGTAGGTTGATCCGTCATGGTTTAATTGCAGCCAACATCTAACTGTAAGCCCTTAGCCCTTCCTCTTGCCGTGGCTGGGTCTCATTCCTCGAGGTATGATATGATGTAAACTTGCAGGCACGCCGGCCGAACGCCTTGAACCGTTTCGCGAATACCTTTTCTATGCGCTCGGGCAAAACATGGCGTGCACTCGCTTTGCGGATGATGGGATGACGGCTCACGATCTTGTGGACTTTTTTGTCTCTCAGCGGTTGCTTCCGTTGCCCACGAGTAGCAAGCAACGGTAGGGCGACAGATACTTTCAAGACAGTCTGCGTGCTACTGCGATCACACTCATACCACTCTTCGAAGCAGTACTACTCTTAGCTTCAGGGGTAACGCATACAGGGCTTGTGCCTCTCTATTTCGGCAGAGCTGCATCTCCAGCTGGCGCCCAGCTGCCGGGTGGACTCTTTGTAGGTTCTATACCAGTAGAAAGGTCTAAAGTATCCATGGGAGTTTCAGAAAACAAGTGATCTGTTTCCAAGCCTTGTCCTGAGCAGTAGGATGTTGAATATCTACTACTTATATTTAAGGACGACCAAAAAGGGACCTGGTTGCGAGAAGCCCCCCATGTCGACGCATGGAGATGCTTAGATCGTAGGCTGCCCCCGTGCAGTAGCACATCCTCTATGGCCACGTACAAATGCCGCTAAACTCTGCAGGATGGGAGATGCCCTCGGCCCTAAACCCTAAACCCCTAAACCCTGAGCCCCAATTTGAGGTTCTACAGCTGTTCTGGCGCATCCGAGCCGTGGTCGACAAGATCGGCTTGTCTCTGTACAAAGAGGCATCGACTTCCTGGTCTCTGCCTTTTAGGACTTTCCGAAAATTAGGGGGTGCCTTATTTTGGGGTCCTTATACAAAGTATCCTACTATTCAGGGTACTATACTAGGGTCCATTATTTTCGGAAACCCCCATTTAGGAGAATCCAGCCTGTGAGCAGACTGAATAAAAGCACTTGCTGGAAACTAGTACAACTAGGTTCACACACAGTGGTAAGCTGCAGCTGCAGCAGCAGGAACGTAAGGTGCCCTTCCAGTTTTTCCTCGCAAGTATTTGTCAGTATTTAGAGCTACTTGGAGCTTGGCCGAAACATCCCTACACTCGAAACCCTTACCCTACGTACACCAAGCCCCAGACTACCTGCTGACAGGGTCGAATTGACGGCATCGTCAGCAGCGAAGGCGGCCCAGGGTTCCTTAGCTATCCAGGCTCTCGGGTGTTGGGCTCCCGGGCTTCCGGGTCCGAGATGTTCGATTCGTGCAACCAGCTCGGTTTTCCGCGGCGGCGAGAGCGGAGAGAGAAATCTTGTGTTGTTTTCGGGCAAGATGCCACATGGTGGCCCGTGACGGCAGCCATGTTTAGCACTCAAGTTTAAACGCGAGCCACGATCAACTGATGCAGCTGGAGGATTCAACTTGCGAGAGGTGGCACAGCGGTTTGACTGCAATTTAGTGCTTCGCGGGCATATACAAATAATGATATATATATATATAGATAGATTGAGGACGTTGACGTGATGGCAGCATGCTTGCACGAGCCCGTGTGGCATAGAGCGATAATTTGCGATGAGATCACCAGCCTAATCAGTGAGCCTCTGTCCATGAGGAAGAAAAATGTTTTCATCTGTGCGCAAATAGTTCACTTGACCGGTGTCATTCAAGTCTTGAAGCCGCATCTTTTTGGGCCAAGAAGCTCAGCAACTCGATACTTAGCCGTAGCCGAATCTCAGGTGGGACCACGAGTGGATGCCTCTCGCCGGGCCCTCGGGGCTCCTGCATTAAGGGAAGGCGGGGGTCAGCGACTTAGGGGCTGAGTAACTGAGTAGGTAACCTTTAACTTTAACCTTGTGGGGCTTATATAAACCATCCTAATTCAAAGGTTATCCTTGATTGGGCTAAGGTACTCGGCCCCTAAGGAGACTGAACCCCGAATCCAGATCTATCCGAGTGCAGTTGAGGTTAAAGGGGTTCCGTGGCCGTAAACCAGAGGTAGGTCTCCGGCGCTCGAAGTGTCTCTTCAAGGAAAGATCTCATTGATCCAGCCAGTCCAAGTCTCATCCCGACGAGCCTCTGCGAAGGTCCTAGTTGACGACGAGGGAGTTCTCCGAAATGCCGACAGTAAGGCCAGCTCTCTAGAATGTGGTTGCCGAGTTGCCACCGAACGTCGGATGCCTCCCTGAAAGCAGTCCCCTGAAGCCGCAGAGATGGAGGCAGATGGGCAGAGACCTGTTAAATATGCCTGCCTTGATATATGTGTGCAGTACGTGTATGTGTGTGTGTGTGAACATGTGCTTGTGTTAACTTATGTAGCCAGTGGTTCAAGCTACAGCTAGCTTCGTTTGGTTTCATTTGTGACACAACGAAGTATGGAATACGTTAGGTTGGCCATCTCGCACATGCACAAACTCACCACAACAACGAATGCAGGCACTTGTTGACATTACTCGGACTCGTACTCTTCTTGCTGTTGCTTCTCCTGCTCCGCCCTGTTCCGCTGTGTCTGAACAATATACCTTTGTGTTTCCACAACGGAGCACTTGGTTTCGGCCCAGCCGTCTCTCTCTCTCTCTCTGGCTTTCGGGAATTCGTTGCATGCTTGCGGAGGCCTTCGAAACGCGAAACCGACAGAATCCCAGAACTCAAGATCCGAAGAAGGAAGCTGCCTGGAACACTTGGTTGTCGCTGCAAATTGCAATGTGTCACGAAAACACAGATAATCCCCAGGTCTTTCAATGCCATTCAGGAAGATCCCCTACCCGCCAATCTGAATCCCTTACAAAAATTTCAGGAGATGGTTTTAGTTAAGAGTTTCTACGCGGAGCCCCTGGAACCCTGCAGCTCTCCGTGGTGCGGCAGGCGCCCGAGGGCTGGCTACGTGCCTTCGCGACGGGTGGGCTCCTCACCGCAAGGTCCGACGAATGAGCCCAGATAACCCGAAACAACTCAATGAAGCAATGCACCTTGAGTTGAATAAGCAGCTCTATTAGGGCTTGAAATGGGGTGGGGGGGTTTTGGAGGGGCGGATGGGCACAGAACTTCGACGATCCCGATCATCCTCCTGGGCTGGGATCTTGTAAAGCACATAGCCGCATAATGATAATGTATGTGTTCATCATTACATCATTTTTATATCGGTAGTAATTTTAGTGTTGACATTGTGTCATATTAGAAGATATGATGAGATATTAGATTAATATACACAATTATGGTGACCTGATGAGGTTGGTTAACAAGCGCTATGCTTTGCTTTACGAGACCCTGCTTTCGTGGCCATCTTCGGGCTGTGGCTAAAGGTTGAGCAGTCTTGGCACGAAAGCTGGATTTGAATCCCTAAACCGGGTATGGCCATTTTGGCTATGTCAGCTCCATCGGCCCCAGCCAAGGCAAAAGCGATCACACCCAGGGCCACGGCACCCCAACGGAAGCCGACAGCCACGGCTGCGAACGCTCCTAGTGCCACAGTACCGGAAGGCTTGTTGGCGCCAAACGCGGCACCGACGCCGTGCGTTCAGGCCACAGATCGCACGAACGTGACATCGATCGAACCCGTCGACAACACGTCGATGGCTGCTGTCACATCGGCACCGCTGGGTGCAACGATCGGTGGAGGATTTTTCTCGACTATGAAAGTCGCTGAGGCCGGATGGCTCGAAGGGGCCGGCGACACGTCCCCTGGAGCTCCCTACCGCCCTTCACTTCGGAGGCGGTACCCTACGTCATCGGGATCGGTGTCCCTCTTGGCGCTCTGAGTGACTGCCCGCGCATCGTCGTCGAAGCGGAGCTGGACGATATGTGCCCCGAAGCTGTCGGCAGACGCCAACCAGCAACAAACGATTGAAACAACCGGCGACCTCACCGAAGCAGCAATGAAGCGGGGACGCGCCATGATACATTGGACTTTTGGCTATACGGCCACCCACAACTGCATGTCGCGATGCATGATTTTTTTGCAGGATTTTTTGCAGAACTTACTGCATGTTTGGTCTCCGAGGGCCACAACGCTCGAATTTACGCTGGAATTTGTTGCATGTTGGGTAGCTGTGGACCTCCATGGCTTTACGAGTCATGGGCACTGGATGAATTAGGTGCAAAGTTGCATATGGATGATCTGCATACTATCTGTTACTGCTATTTTTGTTGCTTTGTCCGTGTGTCTCTCTCTCTCTCTCTGTGTTTCGCTGCGGCGGAGACAGAACTATGCGGAGTCTTGCCGGCCTTGTGCGAGTGTGAGAGTCGAAACTGGGTATAGCTCGACACAGCGCCACCCACCCTAAATCCGAGCTTCTGAATCCAATTCGGTTGCCCGTGCCAGGGCGGGCGACGCCCTGGAAGAGGAAGGCCCGGCCCGCCCTTTGCAGCCCTTGACACGGCCGGTCATGCAAAACAGCATCTATAGCGTTACGATGGGTCAAGGGTTTACGGTTTAGGATGAAATATCAGGAAATTTGCAGATGTATGTATGCTGTATAGCTACACTGTAGTTCTTAAGTCTTGGTTTGTTTGTGTACAGCTACAGGGACAGATAGATGCAGGATACTTCTCCAGGACGGTGCGATGTGCTCATCTTTGCGAGCCATGACTTCTTTGCCGCTCCTTGTTTTTGGATGCCTTGTGCTTTCTTGAGATTGGGTCCTAATCGTAACATATTTCACTGGAGGTCAAGAAAGGCCAGCAGTGCATTGGAATCACAAGGGGCAACCAGGACTGTCTAGATTGCATTCTCGCGGAGGGGATCCTTCCGACAGTGATGAGCTTGTCGTTGGGGCCTGAGCTGCTAGTGTGAACGAGTGGGTGACGCCGGCATGGCAGAATACGGCGCAAGAAGTGTGTTACGTATGTGGGCCTCAGATATTAGTGTGAGGGAGTGGGTAATGCCAGCATGGTAGAATTATACGGCACAAGAAGTATATAGTGTGGGCCTCAGCGCTACTGTGAATTCGTGGGTAATGCCAGCATGGAAATTATAGAATACGGCACAGGAAGGATATAATGTGGAACACGGCATATTATTTTCGTGATGAAGATTAGCGGTTTATGTCTTGCACATGAATTGCCAAGCACGTCGTGGGGCTGAAACAGTTGATGCAGTTGGTGGCGTGTGCATGATTGTGCATGTGCTTGCGGGTGTGGATGTAGGTGCGGGTGCGGGTGCGGGTGTGTGTGTGTGTTTATTTTGTGTTTGTGTTTGTGTGTGTGTGTGTCTGTGCGGGTGTGTGTGTGTGTGAGAGAGAGAGAGAGAGACAATGTGAATGTACCTGTGCGCTTGCATGCTCGACGGCCCATAGAGGCATCCTACGAAGATACCTGGGAGACGGTAGTCCTCAGAGGAAACAAGACTGACCACAACCGCCCAACCAGCATCTCCCGTGGCTGCTGAGAAGAAGCCATCAGTTGTGAACACCAGGAGTTCCCCTGCGCTTGGTGTACGGCCCACGGCCGCCACATTAGCCATTGTTCAACTTGCTCAACCTAACCCAGTCTGGAAGCAGTTTCATGACGACTGACTGACTGACCTCCGGCAACGATCTGTCGCCGAGAGATGCTCGATGCTAGACACAGATTTATGCCAAGTACCCTAGCTGCCCTAGCTTGGAGTAGAGTGCCAATCAACTTCCATACAACGTAAACCGCTGCTGCATAAGCATGCATTTGCACGCATGTGAAGAAAGAAGCCCCAATCCCGAGAATCCGTCCGAGATCTCGGTTGCTGATGCCTTTGAAGCGGCCAATGCGCAGCAAAGGCCGCCTTGGGGCGAAGGGTAGACATACGGACCTTAATGATTAGAGTAGGGTCCCAGGATGTAAGAAAAATGGCTCAGGAGATAATAGTATCAGAGGCCCCTATATTTGCTGGCAGGTTTGTCTTTGGGGGGGAGGTGAGAATCTTGCCAGTGCCCGGAAATGTCGGATTCTGGCTTCGGCTTTCTTTGCTTACCCCGTCCTAGAAGGCTTGATCTGGTTACGTCGAAGCGACCAGCTAAAGATTTTGGATCTCCTCCGGGGCCCAGATGTCCAGCCTGTTATGTAATCGTACTTTCCTGCATAAGCTATACTGTAACCGTTTGGGTTTCGAAAATTGGGCTGGATCCCAATTCGAGGATCCTTGTTTTTTGACCACGAGCTCGGATAGTATCGTGTTTAGAATAGTAATACAAATAATAACAATAATAGGAATAGTTGTAACTTTAGTGCAGGTGCGACAACATATACTACCTTGGGCATCCAGACATTGGGTACTTTGTGACTCCTTGTTTTGAGCACGCTTTTTCTCTTACAACAGGGATCTCCGAATACATGTCTGTTTCTGCTTTCCCTGTGGAAGTAGAGTTGAACCAGGCCTTCACACCAGACGCGATACATAGAAGGCAATCACGTTTCCACTTGTGCTAGCAAGCTGCCCTGAAGAGGTATGGCTTCGTCATGCGAGCGTCCTGACCTTAGAAATGCCGGGCATAGATTCACCGATGCCCCAGAAGTTCCAATGCACCTCGAAAAGGTAATACGGTAATATGCCTCAGAAACAAACAAGTAACCTCTGACCCATGCACACCGTGTCTCGGCAATTGGGTTTTCCTTCAGCTCATGAGACCTTCCCAAAATATAAGGTACTGTATAACGAGTATGCCTTGGTGGAGGTACAATGGAAGGGGTCCAAGTAATGGTTCGGCGATTGCAGCCGGTGTTCAGAACCCCGACTATCTTCCACGGTTGGGGATTAGCTAAGCGGCTTTGGGACGAGCTTTGCAACTCTAGTTGCTCGGATCCCTCCTGACCCCAATGCACCCAGCCGAAGACTCAGCACTTTCAGACGGCCGTACAGGCATTCAGCGGTTCATTCGTTGGTTGGTACACCCCCTGTGGATGCAGCACTTGATACACAGACCTTGCAGCATCCCAACAAAAAACTGCGAAACCCCAATGCTAGTCCCCACAGAACCGTAAGCCCGAAGCCTTGTTCTGGCTATGTTCGGCTTCAGCAGGTCATCATGCAGACTCCTGGCCTTCGAAGCGCCCCTAAACCCCTAAACCCCCAATCCTCTCCCTACACTCCCTACTTCCAGGATGCTCCTGCCGCCGGACCCTGCCACCTGGGCCACTCAGATGTTTCCATCGGGAGCAGGGGTTAGGGTTTAGGAGTTTAAGCTTTAGGATTTCCGGTGTGGCAGAGGGCTGATAGGCTTGTGGAGTTGTCCACTGCTGCATCCTTTGAAGTCATGCACCATGAGTGGCACTGCAGACTTGAAGGTTTGTTGCAAGCCCCTCGTTGGTTCCCAGCAGAGGCTTTGGCAGGCTGCAACCAAAAAGAGGTGTAGGGGCTTTGTCTTGGTTCAGGATCTCCAAGGTTTATGGGGTCTAAATTTTGTCGCCGCACTCCCGAAATCGCAGACCACAGGTTTAGGGCTTTGTGCAGGACATGATGCGAATTTGACACGGTCCCGTCGTTGGGCTGATCAGATACGTTTATACCATGCTGCCATCTGTAAGAAAAAAGGGGTCGGCACAATTAGTATTTAAAGCTCCTGGTGGTCTCCGTGTATTTCTGTATTTTTTTACACCAAAACCTTGTTGGAGATAATCAGCCTCATTGGAATAGAAATGGTGAAATCCCCGATATCCGACAAGGGTCGACCTTATTGCAAAAGCCAGGCCGTGGCGGCAGCTGGAGCAAAGGCCTTCCTCCTGCCTACGGATAAACTGCATCGGGCTTCCTGCATTCGTTGGGCTGTGGGTTGTTCCGATGTAGAGGGGGATCCTGTCGTGTTTTGCTCTCTGCAATTGTAGCATCTGGCCTGGCAGCTGCATCGGCCGTGTGATGAACGTCTTGTCCAAGTGAACTCAGGGATACGGAGAGAACCCTACACCTGCTTCTACATTCTACACTCGGCGCTGCACCCAACGTTGAAGTTGACTGGACAATTCAAGTTCGAGTCCGCTCTTTGGAACTAACGCCAGACCGCCAGACAGGACCAAGGCCGTAAAAAGACTACAGCAAACTGGTTGCCGCAGGCGGCGACCGCAGTGCGAACCGCCAGCGAGATCGATTCCTAAGCCTTGGAGAAAACAGATGGCGCTGTGGTTTATGGACATGGAAATGACAAAACCCTGAAGGCATTAGACCCCAGGTATTCAATGACCTCTACTTTAAGAAAGTCTGAACACGGTACCGACTGTGAGCATTGATATTCGGAGCTTCGTTGAACCAGAGCCGGTCCAAAGCCTCATCCACAGTATCGGCTAAGTTAGGCCTATAGACACTACAAGAGATGCCAGAACGAGATATTTTCCCTAGTTCCAAGAAATGGCAATGCTCACTCTACTTGATCCTTAAGTGTAGTTCCCGTTTGCGTTACAGTTCCGATTGTAGGACCCCCAATCAAGCCTGTGTAAAGAGTCCGGTTCAGCCACCGTAAGCATTCATGGATTTTTCGGGTGTTTCAGCAGCGTTTTGGGGTGGCAAGTGTAGCCAAGCCTAACTACAAACTCGGCAAACTGCCAACAGGGGAAGCGCATTGTGCCTTGGGGATTATATCATAGATCAAAACAATGCCTTGAACAAATTGTCGGGAAGATGCAATCGTGTCGACACGTGCGTTTCCCATGGCCAAGCACTGCCAGTGGCGGATGCAATTGTACCAACTACGACATGCTTGAGTCATTGAGGCGTTTGTCAGTAGCTTCCTCTTGTTTCCCGGGGCCGAGTGCAGTGTCCTGAGAGCCAGGTAGCAGGAGTCTCCATGCAGAGCCTAGCATCAGTGATATTTTGCCAACTGCTGTGATCCACCTCGCCCGGCCCTGCAGCTTTAACAGTTTTGCCGTCTGCGCCCTCGGCAGAGAGGGTTCAATGAGGCCCGGGGCGCACATTTGCCAACGAATTGCGGATCCCAGCTTCTGAGCTTATCTTCGTAGCCGAATACGTGACCTTTCGACATATATATATATACATAGATATACACACACATATATAGATATACATACATACATACATGCATACATACATACATACATACATACATGCATACATACATACCTATATATATACACACATTGACATAGTTCGTCAGTCATCAACGCTAAACGTTAGTCTGCTTTTAAAGCAAGAGGATCACTGCACCGATACCTGATGTGAAGGTCGCTCGCCAGATTTCTATCGTGGGGATCTCGGAATTCTCGCCGAAGGAAGGTCGCCTGTGCCGCTCCCTTTGGAGTAAGAACCAGAGCCTGGGGTGTGGCATGGTCAGCTGCATTGCGTTTTTTCGTGTTTCAGCATAATAGCATAAGCTTAAATCCTAGGGCATCCTGGACCCAACACCATAAACTCTACTACAGAGACCCTGAACCAGACGACCCGGAGGTCGAGAAGAAACCGCGAGTCGTACTCGTGTGCGAACGCCGTATAGACCTCAAATACGAGTCTCCCATACCCCATCTGAGCCAGACCACAGTTTTGTAAAGACAAATCCTCGACCCGACCTATAAAATGTCATCTTGACGAACCTGGAGAGCCGACATGCATGAAAGGACTGCTCACTCCTATAGGGTCATACCTTACCCCTTCTAGGGAACCGGGCACCCAACTTTCTATATAAACGTTTGCAAGCGAGAAAACCAGGTGTTCTAAACAAGTTTCTGTCTTAGGTTTCACAGGTTAGCCCTGAGAATCTAAGTGCCTGCGGGTCATTGACGGTTAGAGGTTTTCAGGGAGGATGTTATTGTACCTTGATATAGGGGTTATGAGGGAAGTCATTTTGTTCTTTTGGGATCATAGCAGCCCGTAATGGCCCAGACACATCCATAAACAATGTAACACCTGCAACAGAGGCTTGGCGTCCTGCTGCGTTGGGCAGTGGGAGAGGAGTGACACTGCAACTTCGTCTCTGGTGATGATCCTGGAAGTGTGTCACACAGGGGGTGAAGCTCATGTTGGGCACTGCACGCATCGAAACATCAAGTCTGCAAGGCACTAGGGAAAACCACGGTGCGTTGCATTGTTTCATGATCAGCTGTTGAGTTGGTCTTCTCGGTCCCCCCAAAAGGTTATAACATCGAGAATCGAAACCGCGCATTGTATTGGCAGTGCATTGGATATCCTTTTGTATGGATAGGTCTTGTAAACAAGTTAGTTAGCCAAAGAAGGAACTGATTTTTTGGGGGATGTAGTCGGTGCAGCCCTATCAAACCCGATTAACATCCCCTTTATGGTATGTCAGCTCGGCATGTGCAGCGATGTCTGCAGGATGTCGCAGACTATAAGAAAGCCGCGTGGTGCCAGCTGACTTGACCGGCTAGAGAGGGCCGGCTTCTTGCAGTATTGCCAAAGAGTAGGCCACTCTTAAAATTCGGACAAGGAGCCTAGTACTTACGACCTATATAGGAGTCAGGCGTACCTTGTCTCCTGGATCTTCCGCATAAATTTTAAACCTGAATAAACTCTCAAAAACCTTTTCAAAACACGTGGAACCATCTAAACCTCAGTCCGCATCCCCGTCTCTTTTTGTAGCCTGGTGCATTCTCCGTTGCTGCGAGCTGTCGGGCCGATTCCGATATTCCCAGGAGCCCAGCTTAATGCATCAGGATAAAAAGGCCTGTATCATGTGTGTCCTTCTAGTCTACACCCTACAACCTGAACCCCAAACCCTAAACCCTAAACCTAGTGTACTGTGCTCCTTATCTACCGGATCTTGTTTTTGTTTTTTGGGTGCTTGCCTGTGCCAGGGAGGAGTTCCTCAAGGAGAACAAGAAGCGGGAAGGCGGATTCTGCAGCACCGAGGTCCTTGTTTAGGGCGTTCATTAAAGGGTACGTTGCGTTTGTTCATGGTGCCTTAATCCGCCTTATGTTGCTTGTTGTTACCGCAAGGGACTTGGAGCTTCAGGTGTGGATGGTTTTATGTAATTACGAGCCTTGGGCTTGCCATTCGTCGGTTGCCAGAGAAGCTCCTAAACCTAAACCCCCAAGCCTAATCCCGGCCTTTGAAAAGCTAGGGCTAAGACCACTGGACACAGTGCTTCTTCGAAGTATCCATGGGTAGTGAGAGGCAGGGGGACGATTTTCTGAACCTGCACCTAGGACCTAGGATGCATACAACGTAATTCATTTTCGTTGACTGCGTACTGCGGGCTTCGCACCCGAAATCCTGTGGCTTGCCTGAGGCACGTCGGTTTCGATTTCAGGGCTTGAGGCTACGCCAGTCCAAGAACAATGAGGGCCCTTTTGGCAGCAGACGTTTTGGCATGCTGAGCCTTTTGATCAAGCCAGCCGTAGTTCAGCCTCCTCGAACTAGCCATGCCGGCAGTAAAGGCAGACGACATAACAGTGCCTCGGCATTGCGCGGTTGTTGACCAAGACAAGTGTTTCGCAGTGCGTAGTTCAGCATGCTTGGGGTTCATCCGTGTGCCCAAGGCCGTTGTACCCGATGAGATTGGCGCGGTGGAAGGTGCGGACGAGGACTGAATGAGTAGGGCTGAGGTGGGGCAAAAGACAAATTCGGGAGTTCTTCTTTGATCCCGTCAAGTGTCTTTACTTTCTGCCACCCCCATGCTCATTCATTGAGAATATATTCAAAAAAAGAGAATATTCAATGAACTTCTTCCTGTGTTGGGCAAGTAGGTTCAAAGCCTCTACAGTGCTTAAAGCTCTAATCCTCTAAAGACCCAACACCCTGAACAATGGACTCTACACTCACGCTAAACACTAGGCCCTTCAACTATCAAGGTTTCGTGAGTTCGGTATTCGTGCAAAAAAACCCTAAACCCCAAACCCAAAAAAAAGTATTTAGGAGAGGAACAATATTAAAAAAAAACCAAATACCCCCAGCCTTGAAGTCTGCAGAAGCGATCTTTAGTCGAATAGATTCGTAGGATCCTTATCATTTGAAAGACCCTCAGAAAGGGACCCCGAAGCCCGCCACATCTGCTGATTTGGGTTGAGGTCTAAAGACAGGGTACCAAGAACCTCATTAGGGAGACCCTTAATTGAGGTATGTCATTGTGGTATACCTTGATACTAAACCCTTAGTACACCCTCATAGTAAACCCCGAAGTAACCCCTATAGTAGCCCTACCCATAGGCTACATAGTAGTTCCTTTTTGGGGTTACCTTATAGGATCCTATCTTCCACAAAAATGAGCTACTATGGAGCCTATGGGTACACTACAGTGAGCCGGAGGAGTCCGCACTGAGCCCTGGCAAGGGTCAGGCCGCTCCTTGCCGCAAGTTGGGGCTGTCTCCTCCGTTTAAGGGCTCACTACAAGGGCAAGATATAAGGGCTTTCATATGATTTCAGGCGGGTTAAGGGCTCACTACAAGGGCAAGATATAAGGGCTTTCATATGATTTTAGGCGCGTTTCGGGTTTCGGTCTTCTGGCCTGAGTGGGGCTCAGAGTTATGTGCATAAGGTAGTGGAGCATCGGTGTGCATGTGTCATTGAAGAGTAAGTGAATCATGGTTTTCAGGATATTAAATGGCTAGGCAAGTGGAGTTGCACAGGCCCTACCATCAGGTAGTCGGGAGCACAGGGTTGGACATGCATAAGTATAAGACTGGCAAGAGAAATAAGTGAGAACTTCAGGAGATGTGCAGTCTTGCCATCACACGGGTTCTGCGGCCATAGTCGTTGAGACTGCATCGAATACACATTGCTCTTGCGTTTGTAGCTGTCATTGTGATCGACATTTTTCCCACCATTGACTTTTGCCAAATCCTGATACCCTAAACTGGTTTGCATGTAGATCTATTGATATAATGTTATCAACAACAGCAGTAACGGAAGTATTGGTAGCACAGTCGTTAAGCCGTTAAGAGGACGAGATGAGAGAGAGAGAGAGAGAGAGAGATTGTGTATCTGTCCCCCTTTGGAGCAAGGTGCCACCTGAACGAACTTTCACCTCCCGACAGAAGCCCCCCAAAAATGGGCGCCCCTGTGGCCGGGGGAATCTCGCACGTGCCTCATGCCGTGGAGAAGAAGCAGCAGAGTGTGTGTGTGTGTGTGTTCTGCTAGTTCTTTTTTTTATTGATGTAAACGGGCTCATCCCAGCGCCCTTCTTGATTACAA